GATGTGAGAAAACAACCTCACTACAATTGTGCCCGAGACATTGACGTGAACGACCAGTTGAGACTGTAGCGAAGGTTGTTCCCCACATCAAAGAATGCTCCAGAGATGATTTTCAAGTTCCAAATAAGTTTCCTTCACTATTTGGATGATGTAGATCATTGTGAAATAAAGTAGGGGCTCGATGACTCAGAGTTAAAAACAGTGTTGAACGGTGTTTCGTTTCCCACAGACGACGTCAAACTGATGTGCGCTAGAAAATTCATGGCAGTAGTCATATATTATCTTCTTAGCATGATATGAAGATTCAACATACACTTAGAAAAGAGAAAACAACTAGTAGTGACACCATAAGTTTTCACGTAGAAATTTCGGAAAAAATCACGGGGCCTTGCCCAGCTTAAGAGTTTCACTAGAAAATGATGATTACAATTGCAATCACTTATTCCACATGCGAGAAAGGGTTATAAGGTCTTCCAAGTTACAATGTCAACATATAGATAAACTTGTTACAAGGAGCAGACGATGACCGAAAGTGATAGCTGACGGTGGTTTTCGACGGTTGGCGGTGGTCGACGACAGTCAGCGGTGGTTTACGATGATTGGGGGGTGGTTGATGGCGATTGACGGTGGTTGACGACGATATGAGTGATGTTGAACTTTGGTTCCTTCTCAAAGCTTCAAGTTCTTTCTCAACTCTCAAGTCGCTCCCCTCCTCCATGAGAGGGGTGGGGCTCTATTTATAGAATTCTCGATGCAATTAATGCTGAAATATGAACCATTTTAGTCGGACGGTTTGTAGAGTTTTCTTTGATCATACGTCATTTGATGGACATTTGAGTGTTTTAACGATGTCAGAATTAAACGATCTTGAGCTTGTTAGATTCGTCTTGTCGAAATGCTAGACTCCACCATAAACTTGTCAGAATGTGCCCAAAAAATTTTCAAAAATAATTTAATGGCTAGATCTGAACTTGATTTTACTCAAATTTGGCCAAATCGTTTAACACTTTGTCTCCAGCAGTCCAGTCGGACTTAGACATCCCATGACATTGAAGAGACCGTCACGTGCCATATTTACCCCCAGCCGCTATTCCTCTAATCCACTTTTTCCTGCATGAAAACCAGGATGAAAAGAACGGAATTAACGCATTTCATCGTCACAATTATTCTCTCTCTCTCTCTCTCTCTCTCTCTCTCTCTCTCTCTCTCTCTCTCTCTCTCTCTCTCTCTCTCTCTGTCTGTCTCTCTCTCTCTCTCGCTTAATGGCGGTGGACAAAGTCATTTGTTTGCCTGATAATGCTAAATGTATACTAATTATTTTGGTGAATATGTACATATCGAGCTCCTCAATGCAGATTTGCTTCCTCCCTCAGTATTTGTCTTTTTATATGTATATATGCCAAAATTAATTGAACTGAGACTTTTAATGTTTTCCGTATTTAATCTCATTGTGATTAGGAAGGTGCGGGGTTTAATTAATTTTTAATTTAAACATTAGATGATATAACTTTTAATTTAAACATTCTGATTTGCGTTGCTGTATAAAAAGGGTCGTATATACTACAATATGAGAGCTAGCGTTGTTTGTGAAGAACGATGTGTAATTATAACTGTTTCTTTTTTGATTCATGAGCATGAGATATTTTTGGAAATTTATTTAACAAATTAGTTGTTTTTTGTTGTGTAATTAAACACTTTTGATTTGAGAGATTCTGAAATCACTTCCCCGCCTGAAATCAAACTAGCTCATCTGCACATGTCTGAAAAGTTTTTTTCAATCGAGCACATGATTGTAGCTTTGAAGAACCTTTTCCATGCTTTCTTTCATGCTCCAGCGCATAAAAATGGACGGTTTAAATTGAATTTTAGGCAGCTCGTGGGCTCTCATATGGATGATAAGTATCGAATTTTTTCTTAAAGATGCAATAATATTTACAGTTCTGATCATAAAATTTTTGGAATTGTGTACCACCTTCCAGCGCAATGGTGTCCCAGTGATGCTGTTAGAATGAGCCTTTTCCCTATTTTTTTTGAGAGATAGGGCAAATATATGTCTTAACTCCTTTCCACCAGGATCAATCACGCCTGGGATAACTTAGCATAAAAGTTTCTTGCCAAACACTTCCCTCCATCGAAAACAGTTAAAATTATGAATGACATCACCTCGTTCACTCAAGTCGATGGATAGTCCATATATGGGGCTTGTGAGAGGTTCAAAGAATTGCTTAGGAAGTGCCCACGTCATAGCCTACCCGATTGAGTAATCATTCAAACTTTTTATAATTGTATGATTGATTTCATGAGATACATTATAAATGTTGTAGCATGAGAATCACTCATGTTAAATCCTTTTGATGAAGCCTACCACTTATGAGAAGAAATGACCAATAATAATTTTCAGTGACCCGCTGAAAGAGTGACGCCCCATAAAGTAGTCAATGTTCATGAATCTGATGTCTTAACTATTCTGACTATCGAAGTGACTATAATTTCCAAAAGATTAGACAATTTGTGGGATGAAACTGGTGTATGGATTGCCAAAAAACAATGGGTTAATTCAAGGACCGTTGATAGATCCTAACATCTCGGCCTTAGAGTCTGTAAATGCCATAGCAAATCATGGTCATAACCCATATTCCAACACCTACAACCCAGAATTGCTAAATAATTACTGTAAGGAAAAAAAAAAACATTGCAGCTAAAATATTATTTCAAATGATTATTTAACTACGTATATTTTTTAAAAGATGTACAAATATACCTAAAAAATTCTAAAGTGTAAGTTTGACTTCGAATCTACAATTTATAAAATTGGATTAATGTTACTTAAGTAATTTCATTTTGAAATTTGTAGGGTAATTATTGTAAAGTATAATGATTCTTTGTAAATACAATATTTGATTAACTGTTTTAAATAGAGTATCTGGTTAAAAGTTAAAATGCTGATATTTTTTATTTGATTTTAAAAACCTTTGTGGTATTGACATAAAAAGCAAAATTTAAGTGTGAGATATGTAGGTGCATAGGAATTAAGTGGTATGTATTATTATTTGATGAAATATAGGAAAAAAAAAGGTCATGATAATTATATTGCATTTAATCATATCCTTATGGAGCTAAAAAAGACAGGCAAATAAAATCCAATTCAAATTATTCTCAAGACAACAATACATGTGACAAATCCAAAATCTCTTGAAATCCTTCCAAATCCTAGTTGCCACCACCTAACTTCCCGGATTAAAAAAAAATAATAATGATAATAACAACATAAAATAAAATAATAAATAATAATATATATCTGATCAACAAATAGAGATTCCGAATTCACTGTATTTAGAGAAAGTATTACGTGTGTGACATACAAACCACTGCATGGATCGCACCACATCACTTATATGATATATTGTGCACCACATATTGGACGACAATCCAAATGAGCCACCATATCATATGACTCACGACAGCATGATCGCTTCCGGGCTATTGTTCAGACTTATAATCAAGTGCAAGTAACATTTTTTCATACACAAAAGGGAGGTGCCACCCACGCATTTCTCCTTCATTTCAAAACCAAATCGTTAAACAGATCTTCTCCAGCAGTCAGTCGTAGATATCACGTGACATTCAAGTGACCATCACGTGCCATATTTACCCCAGCCGCTATTCCTCAAATCCAGTTTTTCCTGCATGAAAACCGGAATGAAAAACACGGAATTAACGCATTTCTTCCTCACCATTAGTCTCCCTCTCTCTCCCTCTCTCTCTATGGCTTAATGGCGGTGGAGAAAGTTATTTGCTTGCTTGACAATCCTAAATATATGTTAATTATTTTGGTGAATACATACATATCGAGCTCCTCAATGCAGATTTGCTTCCCTTAGTTGTTAGGTATGACTCATATACCATAAATGGGACGGACAGATGTGACAGATGCTAGAGCGGAGCGGAACCCACGAGCGGAGTGGAGCGGAATGATCTGTCCAATCGGGAGAGTTTTATTATGTGGGTTGGGGATGCAGGGGCAACACCCTGCGGCTTGGTACATGAATAATTTATTTGCTTCCTCTCTTAGTATTTGTCTTATTATATGTATATATATGCCAGAATTAATTAAAATGAAAAAGTTTTACTGTTTTCAGTATTTAATCTCATTGTTCAATCACGAAAAAAATAATTATAATAAGTGGTAAAAAATTACTAATCTTTTGCGTTAACATTAATTGCTGCAGACTACTGTTTATAAATCTGTTTTAAATTTTCCCATTTCAATTCTCTTCTGCCATTGATTCGGTTTCACTCTCTTAAAAAAGAGCTGAGAGAACCAATAAGCAATCAGCAGTTCCGACCGATTCTGCTACATATAAGTTTAGAAAATTAAATACTATAGATCTGTTTCGGATTCTATTGTTCAGTTTTAATGAACTGATGCATGCCTTTCAGTCTAGTCAAAATATTTGTCGATTTAGTAATTAGACTTTGATTATGAAAGCTTTATGGCCTTAAAGCAAATCCATTTTAGCAAGGAAAAAAAATCACATGAAACAGCAGCACCCCTATTGCGTCCTGCAACAGACTTCCCATCTTTTTATTCCCTTTCTTCTTCACAGAAAACGCCTTCCCTTTTCTTTAACTGCTCTTTAGCAGTATATATAGGTCCAAGTGGGCTTTCTGATACTGTATATGATCAAAATTGTAAATATTATTGCATTTTTTATGAGAAGTTTAGAGATTTATCATGCATGTGAGAATCCAAGAGTTGGCCAAAATTCAATTTAAATCGTCCATTTTCGTGTGATGCAGCTTGAAAAAAAGCATGGAAAAGGTTCTTGAAAGCTACATGCATGTGCTCAATTCAGAGAACTTTTCACACATGTGCAGATGTGCTAGTTTGATTTCAGGCCAGGAACTGATTTCAGAATCTCTTAAATCAAAAGTGTTTAATTCCACAACGAAAAACAGCGAATTTGTTAAATAATTTCCAATAATATTTTCATGCCCAAGAATCAAAAAAAGAAACAGTTACAATTACACATCGTTCTTCACAAACAACATCAGCTCTCATATTGTATTATATATAATCCAAATTTTACATTTATTCACAATAAAATTAATATCATCTATTGTATAAATTAAGAATTAATTAAACTCCGCACCCTCCCAATCACAAACAACATACCATGCAATTTCCAACAATTAACTGATCAAACCAATCATTTATATATATCAATCTTAATTCAATTTTATTCCCATAAAATCTTCAGCATCTCCACATGCTTTCCAAGTCAAGCAAATCCCCGGCGGGCGCCGTTAAGACGGAGGAGATCTCGGTGTTACGATCGGTGCTGATGCCGGTTTCCTGGCTGAGCATGGACTGGTTGGACAACTGCTCCATCTTACAATACCTCCGAATCGCCGGAGGTGTCGGCGATGACTGAATCATAGCTTGCGGCACCTGGTCTAAATAGTCATCCATATCTCCGAGCATGGAGAGGTATGGATTCTGATCATGCGTATCATGAATCTGTTGCAAGTAGCTTGAGCTGGAAGAAGGATCATTCATCATATAACTTGAGCTCGAATAGAATGAGGGATCGACATAGTCGACGGCGCCGCCGGTTGCGCCGGAGAGGAAGTAGGAAGGCCTAGGTGTCAAGCCCGGGGTAAAAGGTGATGTTTTGAAGAAGAAGCTGTGATCTCCGTAGCCGGAGTTGATGAAGGTAGAATCCATGAGTGGTGGAAGCTTTGGAGAATCTAGTAAGTCATCTGTGAATGAGTTAACCCTAAGGGTTCCACCTCCATGCATTGGGCTTTTCTTTAATCCAGCGTTCTTGTCGAACACCCTACACACAACCCATTCCTCCTGCACTCATATATATAGAATTCAGATTTTCAAAATAAAGCCTTGGCGCTTTTCGCATAGCTAAGATTCACATAGTTAGTTATATACAGCTTCTCGATCAACGAACTTTCACAGTACATAAAAACCAAATTTTTTTTCCAAGGTGGAAATCAAAGTGTGGCCTTTACTCTTAAATTTGGTACAAAATTAAATTTTTACTATAAATACAAATCCATATATAGACTTGGCTCATAAATTTGCTAGCAATTTTACAGAATTGAGAAGCTACACCTATACTTGGTCTATGATTGAAACCTTTTACTGTTGTGACATCAAATCCTAATATTGTTTATAATTCTGGCACTATCGAAATAGATGGAGTGCAAGCAACTAATTAATACCTTTGCCGTCTTTGGGAGATTGGAGAGAGAGACTTTGCCTTCGAGCCTGTACTCATGCATGACCCAATTTGTCTTCTCTCCTTTGGGTGCTCTCCCTCTGTAAAACACAAGAGTCTTCTTCATCCCAACGAGAACACCTCTTCCTCTGTAAATCTCCTTATCTTTACCCGTAGCTTTCCAGTATCCTGAATCTGTCGCCCTATTCGTTCTCATCCCTGTGGGATACTTCCTATCTCTTTGACAGAAGAAAAACCACTCTTTCTTCCCCATCATCTTTGCCTTGCCTGCACAATCACACATGAAAATCAATATCAATAAAAGTATAAGAAAATTAATTAGAGAAATAAGTAAAGAATATAAATAAAGATTACCTGGAAGATCCCAAGGCTCGCACTTGTTCAAATCAGCCTCACCCATGACCCTTGCAGTGAAGCCATGATCGAGAACCTTAGGAGTGAGATAGTGTGTTATTATCTCTTCGTCTGTGGGGTGAAACCTGAATCCCGGAGGTAGAACCAAGCTGTCTTCTTTCTCAGCCATGGACGAACTTGATTTGAAGTTGGAGACAGGATGGATGGAGATTTGATAAAGAAGCTTGAGGAAGATAGAGAATAGGAGTTTAAATAAGATGGGGGGAGTCTTCTTCATGATCCGTGCCATTGAAGTCACTTGTCTGAGAAGCCAGTCTTGATTTTCTTCCCTTCCACATTGCTTTATGGTCACCATCATTATATTTTTATTGCTGTTATTAATCATATTAATCATCTCTCCGATATAAATTTTTTTTTTTTTGTATGTTTGTCGCGGTCTCGAGTCTTTTAAATTTAACCCTCTTGATAGTCTTCTCGGGTATCTTCTCAGCTTTTGAAGGTGAAACGGTCATCTGCGGTCAGTCTACTTTTGTTTTTTTTTTTAAATTCTATGGCGGTTGAGTCCAATCTTTTCTGATAAATTTAACCTACAGATGAGACAATTTTTATACATTTACATATCTAGTACCTAAAATTTGATATTTACATGTACAATATTTTGCATGGAAAAACTATATTTCACCTTTACATTTTGAAGAGGTTGTGACATATATTTTTGATGTGATGTGAAAAATTTGAAAGGTATGCATGTAAATATGTATGTTTAGAAATTAGATTTGTAAATACATTGGAATTGTCTGTGGTATAAATGTAAGTGGTCTTTTGTTTTTGGGGTTATTATTATTATTAATTTTTGTCTGTTAATAAGAGGTTCCAAAGGAAAGCTGAGATAGACAAAAGGGTGGTTAAGGGTCGTTAATGGAGAATTAGATAAATCTTATTCTAAAGATTAGCAAAATTAGGAGCACATGTCGGTTATATTCGGCTTAGTTCGGCTAAGTTTGGCGGCTTTTCCCATTTTATATTAATTAAATGTACTTGCCATTTTCTAGTTCCAAAAAAGCCCGCATTTATGATTAATTTCTATCAATAATCTATATATATATATATATTATCATTTGCATGAAATTTAAATATTTGAACTTAAAATTTGTTTGGCAATATTCAAAAGTTATTTAGAAGTATCCAACAACGATGATATTGAATAAGGCAACATAGTCTAGATATTGGAAACTATGGGTAAAGATAAAGAAATATACAAAGAAAGAGCAATTCTTATTAGATGGAAGAGTATTCATGTTTTCTAATAGAGGGAGAGATCCCAAAAGAGACAAAATATATTGGGTCATGTATGATTAAAAGCTAAAAAAGGCAAAGTCTCTCTCTCTCCAACCTCCCAAGAGAATTAATTAGTTGCTTGCTTTCCAACTATTTTGATAGTGGCATAAACATAAGTAATATGTAGAAAAGTTTTGATCTTAGACATAAAAGAGGCAAACCTTCTAAATCTTGTATAACTATGTTTGAATTTATGATCTTAACTGATTATGAAGAGGCTTTAAATCAGTCATGTTATAAATAATTTGTTGATCAATTTTGTTCGTTTGTTTGTTTGTAGCTTCAAGTAGTAGTATTTCATGAAAATCTAACATACGTAGATACAAGAATTAAGGCTCATAAGAGGGATATATATCCTTATGTGAAACACATTAGATGGAGAAAACTTTAAAGCGTTATTTCATTGAAAAAATTCCATTATATAAGTTGAAAGTCATAACGGTTTACTCTTCTTTGATAAAAGGTTGAAATCATCTTTATTAAGGTAAGGTGATGGTGTTAGCAACTTGGTGTTAATGTTTACTGAGATGAATGGTGAATGATGCCTAAAATGACGTGAAACGCTGACAACTACATAAGCATACATGCTGATAAAATAATATATAGAATTAGAGTCTATGTATCCATCCCATTGAACGTGTTTAATTTTCAATTAAGACAAAGTTCTAATTTATTAATTGTTTGCTTAGCTTAAAAGATTAAAGGTTAAAAGATTTTCAAATTTACTAATTCAAAATTTTGCAAAAAGAAAAACCTAATTAAAGTTGTGAAGGTTTCTATTAAGTCAAATGTTCTTCCTAGAATTATATCTCATAAATATAGGTTTAACTATGTGATCAGGATAAATGTGACAATTAGGAAGATTTTCTCTACTTAGCCCCTCTCAGTGGTCTAAAGAGGTTTTAAAAATGCCCTAAATTTGAAAAAAAATTTCGGGATTCTGAATTTCCCTTTGTGATTGCATTAACCTAGAAACAATATTTCTATTCTCCCAAGTTTGTCTGAGTTAACCTATTTGTTTCACTAGTCTGCAATGATACAACTAGATCACAATATATACTAATAATTTAACTTGTCAGATTGAGAATCAATGAAAAGCAGAAGGTTAAAACATCACCACTATGTAATTTCAATTAATCACAACATCAAAATTAAACACAAGAGTCTTAGACTATCAAGTCAAGAAAGAAAATGAAAGCTACTAGCTACTCATGCTTTGAAACAAGAAAATATACATTTTAGTAATCAAAATAATTAAAATATTACGATTTTAAGAGAGAAAAACCAAATGCAAAACACTATGAAGATGCTACACTGGACTTCTTTCTTTCTCCATACACTATGGAAAATTAGCAAATTTGTGTCGGTCAAATCAGACGCTATTCAAACTGAAATCCGACATTATTTGAGATTATTGTTAGATTTACATCAGATTTACAGCTGATATTTTCTGCAGGTAATTCGGGGATCGGTAATGTTAATCTGGTCAATTTTGTATTGAAATATTCCAACACAAATAATTAGTGTCGTTTTTTTCATCGTCATATCGTCAAACTTCACGTGCATCAAATTTTGCTTCTGAAAACATCACACGATAAATAATACCTTCAAATTTGCTATATGTAATATCAATGAGCGATGCGTCGGATTTTTGGACTAAAAAAGGAAGTAAATTCGATGCAAAACTCAGATATAGAAAAAAAATAAAATGTCAATTACATTTACACATCTTGCACACAACATTTAATCCACATCACAACAACATTATATTCAGTCATATCACAGATCAATTACCCTAAAAATATCTTTAATGAAAAAAAAGAAACTGCCTTGAATCTAAATTATCAAAAGTTTACATCTGCATCCTCAGTATTAGTTCAAACATTTAAAAAACTAAAGATACATAAAAATTCATTCTAATCATCCTCATTGACTACATCAGTCACCATTCGCTTGCCCCGCGTTCTTCCATAATGTCGGTCAGACGTGCTATGCTCCATTCAATTCCTTGTTGGCATGCATGTATATGGTGAAGCTCCTCAATCATATCAACGACCTCCCTTGCAAGCTCCACAGTATTCGAGTGTGACGAGCTCGTGCCCCCCACAGAAGCATGGGATATCTAGACATTCTTCTTCCACACCGCTTGCATCCATAGCTCAAACTTAGACTTCACAGTAATATACCAACTACAACTATTACTAGGAGGCCAATTGTTACCCTAAGAGCTGCTCGTACTCCTCATACATAATAAAAGACAATTATTAATTGTCAAATATTAAGAGTCAAAATAAATGTGAAAAAATCAATTTCTTACTTACATTCACCCATCAGGTAGGTAGTCGAATGTATGCAGGAGAAAGCTCAGGCGAATGATATGGTATCCTGTAGTTTGACATTTCCTCGCCGATAACTTCGAAACAATTTTTATATAAGGAAATTAAACAATAAAAGAAGAAAATAAGTTATATATATATATATAATAATAATAATAATAGAAAAAAAAAACGAAGAGATGCCCTTCTATTATTTCATCTCAATCATGTTCCCTAGCTCCAAAGCCTTTAATGGCCAATGGTGCTTGCGTTTTGTTAGTTAGTCAGTCCGTACCCACCCAAATCCAAGCGCATCTTCTCATATTGTGTTGTCCCTAAATGATTTTGCAATTTCATTTTAGGCTTTATTACATGTAGGACCTAGCTTAAAGAGAATATGTATTTAGTGTATATTATTTAATGTCATTGTCAATTTGACATGACCCCGAATCATTTCAAAATAAATGGTTGAAATGACTGATGACATCGACTAATGGGGGGGCACCTTCCATCATTTTATCTTTCCTTTTCTTTTCAAAAAATAAATAAATAAATAAATTAGGGATAAAAATTATAACATAAAACACTTTTATTAGAAAAAAAACAGTCACCCTTTATTTATATCTTCAATTGTTCTCTCTCTGTATCTAGTCACACATGTAGGGGCTGTTAATGATCCGATCATTTCAGAGTAGCTCGGTTTAAAATTGAGTCGAACTTAATGTGACTCAAAATTAAAATGAGCGGGCTCAAATTGAGTTGTTTGGATATGTTTTAGCTCGAAACAGCTCTTTTTGGCTTGAACTCAAAACTAGTTCGCTCATATTGAGTTATTTGGATTCATTCCAGCTTGATATAGACTTCAAATCGGTTCGTGGCTCATTATATTCAATTTTATTTAGTATTATATATGTAATTTTTAGAAAAAAAGTTATTCCTCTAACTGATCTTAAGTAAATTCGAGTCGATCCATTTATGTCTCAAAATCAGCTAAAAAAATTCAATATAAATTTTTGGCTCACAACTTGGCTCTTTTTTTTTTATCTGATCTTCATCCAAGCTAAGATTGAAAACAATTTTCGAGCTATTAATGATATTCGAGTTATATTAGAAAATTCATGTTTCAACTTTATACACAAATTTCAAAAGAAAAGTACATAATAGCCAAGATCTTTTAAATTCATGATTTTTACATATGTAAAATAAAGTGACGCATACCTGTATTCATGATAAACAAATTTGATCTTGAAGAGATGGAGTTTCTCTCTCTAATCCCTTAAAACTTTCTGTACTTTCTGATGGAGAGAAATGTACGAGGTGTGTTAGGTAGAGAGATGACCCATTCTCAAATTCATGCTCTATTTAACCACCATCCATCAAGGGGGTTACTGACCAATAGAATTTATGATAATTTAATAAATTAATTGATTTTTATTAATAAAATCAATGACATAAGTTAGTAACATTTATTTATTTTAGGGGTTATATGAGTTACAAAAATAAATATCATAAGTTATGACATAAGCTATGAGTTAAGAAAATTAATGACTTAAGTTATCAAAATAAATATCATAAGTTGTCATAATTTATGACATAAGTTACGAGTTATGCAAATTAAAAACTTAAATTATCAAAAATAAATCTCATAAGTTATTAAAATAAATGCGAGTCATAAAAAAAAAATATAA